ACGGCAACGGCAAAGGGAACGTCCCTAAACAAAAGATTATATAACAGAACAATGACTGTGCACGTGCGTTATAAAGCTTTGCAAGGTTCTTTGCGTCCTCTGCAAAACAACAACATGAAATGATCAAACTTTGCGTTGTCTGGAGAACATGAACGACGATAGCTAATTTCTTAAATTTCTATTTCTGATTTATCGCTGTGTTCCATATTCAGTTTGGAGATAGTTTTGACGATATGGAACAAACTAAAGGACTTAGAGTATCGCGAGATTCGTGGGTAAAATATAAGTTAATTTTTTAATCCGACTTTGTCCACAGCGTTGCCATCGTCGTTTCTTAAACTCCTTGTTAAAAACTGAATTTTATGCGAAATGGCTTTGTTTCTTTCGGCGGAAATAGTCGAAAGACAAATATCGACGTGGATGTGGGTTATTGTTTTGAAGCCAACAGATCTACAATCATGATAAGCCTGAAAATAACTAATGCAGTTTAATGATATTCCCGAAAAATTCTCTACTATCTCTCCAATACTCCCTTATTTGCCAAATCTGTGATATGTCATTCAGCCATTTGTTGTTTCAGCTGAGAAAGCATAGTTGTACAGTAAAATAATGTTAAAGACAATACCAGTAACGCTTTGGTAATCTCTTAGTTTCTTCTTATAATTTCTTTCCAGCATGCATTTCCTTTGGGAGTGTCGTTACATAACATCCTAATGCGCTCGAACCAGGAAACTGGAGTGCTCAAGTCGAGGCTACTAGTAAAAAAACCTGTGAAAGTCGTGAATTCTGATGGGGACGAAATTCGCAAATGTACACAACTTTACATGCTTCATTAGAACTTTTGCAATTTGAAGAAGAGCCAAAGTGTGCTTCATTATATCTACTTTTTCCATTAAGGTTACTACTAGGCTACACTTTCCTGCGTCTACAACATCAAACGTGGATAACTGGTCGGGAATAAACTCGAGAGTTATAATGCTAAAACACTGGATAAAAATTGGAATATTGATAGACTTAAACCGAGGGTGAACTACTCATTCTGCAAACCATTTGACCTTTGTACACAACGAGTTGAACCCTTTAACCCTCTTTTCAATATCAAGCAGACAAGCTATGAGTGCAAAAAAATATGTAAGGAGATAATAAGTTAATCCAATATCAATATCCTAACATCCTAACAGACTCGGTTGAGAAACAATCACACTTCAAGGACGTCCTGGTTATCCTTTAGAAATTCAGCAGCTTCTGCATCGACGCATGCTCGGAAGCCTTCGCGATGATAGGCAGAGAACATTAAAGGTGTGAAGAATTGATTGGCTGTGGAGTGATTCGGGAACTTTTGGCAAAGGAACTCAGAGAAACCGCTCAGGCAGGNGAATTACCTTTCCAAAGATATAATCGATGATGAAGGCAAGTGGAATTGCGTATGATCCATATATGACGATCGGTTCAATGAGGGTGACAGCAAGTACAAGGAAAAGCATTAGAATCGTATCAAGGACTCCTTGACGTGGTTTCTCCCAGTTACAAAAATAACCTGCTCTTTGTCTCATGTTGTCAAAGAACTCTTCATGCCATTCTTCGCTGTCGTCTGCTTTCTTCTCTTTTCTGTATTTCCAATCTAGAAAGGCCGTACCTGTGTAGCCACCCCCTGACACGCAGCTTAGGTAGTCTACCTTTGCTTTACTCTGGAGCAGCATACGCAAGACCCCAGAGCATAGTGCCGCTGACCGAATTCCGCCACCAGAAAAAGCCAAACCAGTTTTAGTACACGCCATATTGCTTGAAAGATAAAAGTGGTCATTATCAGTTCGAAACACTTACTAGTTCACAAAAGCATAGAGAACTGTTCTATATCCAAACGTGAGATATACACCCAATATCGGTCTCGAAGCCAGGCTCGGAAAATCATACCCCGTCGTCTTAACAGAAGAAAATTTTCTCCATCCTCAGTGCATTTGCATTGTACTGATTTCGATTGAGCATAGGTTACTGAAAATATTATTCGTTAGGGGTTAAAATTCGTCACCTAAGTCGAGCCCACGTCACGTCAAACTGCCGTTTCACAAAACGAATTACGTATCATTACAAGGAGTTGGCAGACGGTGCTGTGTTAATCGATTTTTTTGTGCAACACAAGTGTTTTGAGGTAAATTGAAAGTTGTTGTTTTG